ATCAAATATTAACCTGGAGTACTATGGTAGTTTTGGGAAGACATTGTACTTTACATTTATTTATGCATACAAGAACTGGGATGTAGAACATAGTTGGAGTGGGGAGTGGAAGGGGGATGTTGGAAAGAGGGTAAGAGGATTCGCCAGAGGCAGAGTGGAGAACAGAACTGGCAGATCTATTGAAAAAACTGCTGAGGGGAGCATTGGAGTAAGGCAGAAGTCTGCTCCCTCATATGCATCAGCATCCTTGCTGGGGACTGAACTCTTGTCACAGTGCCTAGAAATAGCTTGATGGCACTAAGACTTTAACTTCTATACCACCAGGGAGGCTCCACTGGGAAGAAGTTATTTAAAAAGAATATAGAAAAATAAAAGTGTTTCAAAGTAAACAAAAATTGTATTCTAAAAACTATAATAAAGTCCCTTTGAAACAGTCTATATATTAAGGTTCACCAATCTGCTTTGCCTTTCTCCTTAAAGATACCAAATAGTGAGTTTTCATAAAACTAAGTGTATATTCAATGTATATTCAAGATAAAAGGCAGCATCTTATTGAATAAAGAATTCCATGCACAATCCCTATACAAATGGAAGATTTTTTTTTGGGGGGGGGGAAGCACTGAAAATATAAGCAAGTAGCAGAGAAAGGTGGTATAAATTCAGGGGTAACTCACACATCTCCCATTTACCTTCACACTGTTTTGGAATGATAATTGAGTTTCCTCCTTTCTGTTTGAAAGGCAGAGCCACTTCCATCCATTAATCTCTCTGACCTTTACATTTTTCATCTATAAAACCAGGAATAGCAATCATGATTACCGACTTTGCAATGCTGATGTATGTTCAAAATTAGAAAGGATGTGAAATTACTTTGTAAACTCTACTAGGGAATGCACTGAAAGCATTGTCTTGTTTCTCTTGTAGGCCCTTCCCAGTTGGGAACTCCTCAGCCACCAAAGACAGAAACAAAATCCCCAAATTCTAAACTTTATCTGGACTGAGAAGGTTCCCTTAGCCACAAACAAAATCAGGGCATACTGTTCAAGCAGATGTTGCAGATTCTAACATACAGAGGTTGTCTCAGTGGAGGAAAAATAAAAAACTACTCAACTTATTCTCACCAAACTATCCTTTTACCTTCTCCCTGCCACAGCGAAAAGTGACCCAACCTGTAAACCTCCTTGTACCAATCAATGCTGGGCAGTGAAATGGTTCAATCAGTCTTAAGGAAAAGGCAATGAATGAGAGGGAATTTTGTTGTTGCTGTCTTTTTAAGATTTATTTACTTATATATACAGAGCTGGGGTGCAGGCTAGAGGTGCAGGCAGTGAGAGGGTTCACCAGAGACAAAGTGGGAAGCAGAACAGGCAGACTGAGGAAATACACAGCTGAAGGCAGCAGCAGGCAGGTCAGGAGAGGTCTGTCACCTCCAGGACCAGGGATTAAACTGACCCTGAGGCTATGGCTCTCTTGCAGTGCTGCTCTTTAACCCCTTGTGCCACTAGGGAGGGCCCCCTCGAGAGGGGTTTGAACACAGGAGTCATTCACTAAGTTGACCTCATTGCTAGGACAAGGCCAGGATCTATATGCCTTCTGTGAGTGTGTTTATCTAGGCATTTGCTGGAAATATTCTTTCTGTGCGCCCTCCCTGAAAATATCTAACCAAGTCCCACTGAGCTCCAAGTCCCAGCCTCCAGAGGCATTTATTGTTGGCTTTGAAGCACAGCAGAATCTGAGAGATGCCTGGGCTGCTAGAGCACTGGGAGAACGTATTTTCCTGAATCTCCTCTTGGGGAACTGTGAGTCAAAATTCTTGAGGTGATATTTTGCCCCTCCTAATAGCAAAAGACTATCCGCTACACAAAGGAGTTAGGAGAAAGGGAAAGAGGTGTTTTGCTGGGAAAAGAGGACAGAATCTTATTATCTTCATCTTCTGCACATAAAGTACAGAGGCACCCAGGGGATCCCCACAAAGGGACCAAAGGGTGATGAATTAGAATCAATACCAGCAGACTTTCCAGATCATGCTTATACCAGGGTACTAACTAAATAAAAAAAAAAATCAGTTTCCCACCCACACTAAGCCAGCAAGATCATAACCTGGAAAAGGAAGTGGGGTGTATCAGAAGAGGGGATAGGAAATGAAGGGAAATGAAAAGATGCAATAAAAGAACAAAGTAGAGGGCCAGATTCTCTTGAGTGGCATTTTTCATTGCTCCCACGCTTTTCTCATTTTTTTTGCATACCCTCACAAATCTAAAGAAGGAATGTCAAGTTCTTAGGCTTCACACAAGTAAAAAGTCACAATGCCACCACCTTTGGTTCTCTCCAAACACCCTTTCTAAGCTCTAAGATGGCAACATTCCCGTATTTGTCTAATGACAAATTAATTTGAAACGTGTTTACCCACTTGTTAGCCAGCTAAATTATTGATGGAAGGGCTCATTAATTACCCCTTTAGCCTGTCCCAGTTTGGGGTAACTGTTAGGGGCAACACAATTCATCCTAGCACCAGTCAAACACTAAAAGGCCCTAATATATGGAAATAATTGAGATCTGGGGAACTCAGTACCTGCCCTGCTGTTTTTCTTCAGTCCCAGCACAGCCAAACCCCACCCACATTCAGGAATGTGCATGCACACATGCACACACACCCACAATCATATTGTCCCATACCCTAAATACATACATTCTCAAAGACCTTCTGCCAAATGTCTGAAGGAACTCAGAGGTGAAAGTTTGTGGCATTTCATGACACTGCACTATTATTATAAACCTTGTTCAAAGTCTAGCCTCATAGAACTTTTCTCAGGTTGAGAGACAGTTGTAGAATAATTTTCTTACATAGCTAGGTAAAAGTTTCTTGTAAAACATAAGAGTTTTTCCAAATACCAGCAAACATTATAAAAAAGAGTTTCTCCAGATCCCAACAAGCATGTATGTTTTCCCCCTCCAAATATTAATGTTAATTAATATTTCCATTTCCCTTTCCAGTTCACTCCCCTCTGGTTTCAAGAGCCTATGGACACCTAAAGTCACAGAATACAGAACTTGGAAGTCACCTAGTTCAACAAACTCCAAATGCTAGCACTATAGGGTAAAGCAAACCCACTTAGGAGGAAAAAAAATCACCCACAAACAGCTACTTAACATTTAAAAAAAACAGGTCTATAGCTGCTCTGTCTAAAGGTGCTCCTCACTCCCTAGCATGGTCTCAAAACAAAGTGCCCAGTCAAAATATAAGTTTACATTAGAAAATACCATTGGAGTTAAGGGAAGGAGGGAACTTCACTAGGTTCTCTCTACAAAGAAACAAATTTCCCATTCAACCCTTGGTATCCCCACAAAATATCAGGCAGTAATTAATAAAAAACAATGCCAACAAACTTCCCAGCTCATTCTTTCAACAATGGTAACAACTGAAAGAAACAAAAAATCGACTTTTCACCCACACCAAGCCAGTAAGAGCAGACACGAGGCTCAAAGCCACATCTGCTGCCATGGAATAATACTCTCTGGGTCCTGGCATCAGGACAATTACAAGATCCCCGTTCACAGCCCCTCTTCCATCATAATCATTTCCAAAGAGAATGAAAAACAGGACATGCAACTTGACAACACTGTGCCAGTGGATTTGCACATTACACAGAAGCAGCCACCCACAGGGTGTAGGGGGAACATGTGTGTGGAGGTTTGAGCCCTGATTCATTGCTACTTGAGCCAGAAATGGCACTATTTCAAGTTAGGTAAGCAACATAATGAGGAAGACCTGCTTAAATCAGCGGGGGAGGTACAGAACTGGGGAGGGGCAGGACAAGTATCATGCACAGGGGCATTAGAGACACATTTCTCTCCTGGCTTTGCCAGGAGCTTTCTCAGAAGAAACAAATATAAAAATAATAACAATAGCAATTAATGACTGCAACCCACCTTCACTACCATTTGATACAGACATGCAAATATATGTCAAATTGGAATGTTGTTTCTAACTCTTGTTTCCAAGTTCTCATTCCTCTCCAACCAGACTACTTTTTTGGAGGGGTAGGGACCTCAAAACTCTGAACTTTGCACATACATACTTTCATTTTGTTATGGAAGTCTTTGAATTTGAAAGACCATTGACATTAAAAAAAATACCACTTTGTCACAAACACTAGCAAGTTCAAGAATATCACGGCAAATGAGACTAACCTAAACTGGGCATAGCCAAATAATATTAGTCCCAAGGTGGGCAAAGAGCTGTCTTTTGTCTTGTTTTGGAGAACACATAAAGAAAATCTGCAAACTCACTTCCCCAGGGGTACAATCTTTGGGAAAAATAAATTCAAAATTGCTCTGCTCAATGTCTTCTCTCATCGATTCATAAAGATCAATGGATACGTTTATGTCCCATTCCATTAGTCCAAATAAACTGACAGCTAATGCTTTGAGAAATATTTTAAAGGTGGCATCTTTCCAAACAGAAAACTATGAAGCCTGAATAGCAAATTGAGATTCAAAGGACACAGTCACCAACTGCCGGACCAATGAACCCCACCACATCACTTCTCAAATGCTCGACTCTCATTAGAGAAGAAAGAATCATTTTTACTAAATCCAATCTTTTTTTATTGATTTTTCCTTCTAAGCATTCAGTGCAAGACTGTCTGCCCTAAAATGCCAAAGATCTATCATGCTCTTCAGGCAAGCCCCTTCACCCCCAAACAATTCCAAATTCAATACTTATGGCAACAGAAATTTTCACTAGACTTTCCTGACATAGTTTAAAGATAGTTTTTTTTAAAAAATGAGCTAATATACCACAAACAGCAAAGCCAGTATTTAAGAATGCAGAGCTTCTTCTGTGTACGTCACACAGATGGAGGATGCACACACATACATGCACATTTAAATAGAAAACATTTCTTTATCAACAATTTTACTCAAGCAATAAGCACCTACACTCACAAGCATACTTAAAAGACAAGACATGACAAAAGATTTAGGGAGAGATAATATACCAACGTCATACATATCACAGCGAGGCCATGTTGAAGCTCAAAACGTTTTCCCCCCTGAGTAAGAAAGCTTGCTTTTTCTCTCCCTCTCTTTCCCTGTCTCTGTCTATCTTGAGATTTTTTTCTCGGTGATTCCTGGGATGAAATCAAAACAAGAGTTCTCAAGAGCTCAGGTGGCTGGACTCCATTCAGCGCGTTCCCAGGAAAAACATGAGTATGACATTGACAAGCAGGAGGACTACAATCACGGCAAATACGACTACAGTTTGCACATCCAGGGTCATGGTGCAATGCAGAACACTGTAGTGTTCCAGGTGGGGGGCCGGCAGATTGGGAGATGTCAGTCTCTGTTCTGTCAGACTGTCCATAAAGCCACCATGCTAGAAAAGAGAGGAGGAAGTGGGGTGGTTAGGGAAGGGCTGGGTTTGGCGCCCGAGTTTGGTCTGAGGGGGCAGGGGGAATGGGGACAAGGGAGCTTGCTTCCCCCCTTCTCAGAATTGGGCTGATCTTTCTTCTCTAGCTAAGAAATCTAAGCTTGCACTGAAGTCAGCAGAGTCCTGCATTCTCTCTCGGGCACCAAGCAAAAGGCAAAATCCTGTCTTTCAAAGGGAAAGGCGGGAGGAACCTGAGTGAAGGTTCTCTGGAGCCTGCTCAGTCAGTCTGTCAGAGCGTCCGTCTGTTCTTCCACCTGTCTGGCTACCGGTCAGTCTTGGCCTCCACTACTCCTAGTTTGCTTGCTTTCCTAATCTCTCTTGCTCTCAGCGCAGGGATCCGGTTGCCAGTCACTCCTTCCAGCCCTGCCTGGCTTTATCTCTCCCTCTCCTCTCCCCACCCCCAGCCCGTAGGCTGCGTTTTTATTCACCAAGAGACTGCAGGCGCCTGCGTGAAGCACAGCCCGAGCTGCTGACAGGCCTACTGGCCAATAGCAGGTGCCAGAGCGTTTCATTTACTGGCGTGAGGGGGACCGGGAAGGAGGGTGAGGGGAAGCGGGGCGGAGGGTGAGGGGAAGCAGGGCAGGCAGAGGGTGAGGGGAAACGGGGCGGGATTTGAACTGGCTTGCAACCCATTTCAGCCCACTAGCAAGCTGGTTCCATCCGGACTGGGAGCCTCTGGCCCTCAGTTCTGCTTTGGGGGTGGGGAGCTTGTTGCAAGTGGTTTGAAGGGATTTAAAGGATAGAGGAGGGGAAGGTGTGGGTAAGAGGAGGGTAAAGTGGAGGAGGGGAAGTCTGCTTACAGAAGGAGATAGGAGGGAACTAAGAGGAAGACCACTGGAAAATGGGGAAAGTGAAGGAGAGGTGGAAAAAGGGATGAGAGACAGAATATTTTAAGAGAAGGGTGAGGAAAGGAAGGGCAGAGAATGGGGAAGAGCAGGACAGAATGGACAGAAAGGGATAGGTAGATGGAGAGGAGGTATGCCTTGGCAGCCACTTTGGATACTGGGTCAAAGAAGAAGCAAAGGTACCTTTGAGTACTGCCTAAGTAATTACAGGCAACTCAGAATTAGCTATACAAATTCAACAAACCAATGTTGTGGACAAAACCATAGGACACACTAGGAATTATTCAAAGTCAAATCAAATCAATTTGGCTTCCTGTAATAACCCTGCACTGGATGATCAGATTTCCTTTCCTAATCACTGTTTCTTGAGACTATGACAGCTTGCATTCATCCAGCATACTAGATATTATGAAGAAAGCCAGAATTGCGATAGCAAAGCCACTACAAAAAATATGATCTGGTTGGTTGGTAATCACTGCCCTGCTCTGTTTGTGACTGTGAATGAAACTAGGGAAAAAGCCCTGGATAGGGAACAGAAGTTTTCAGATTTACCACCAGCCCTACTTCAAGCCTGCTGTATGACACTCCATCCTAGACTTCCAGTTCTCTTATATCTCTTGAGGATTTAGAACCACCTGAGAATTCAATGAAACTCCTGAAACCTCACTTTAGAAAATTACATATACTTTCAGCAGGTTCCTGGACCCTCAAAAGTCAAGAATTCCCTTATACAGAAAATCTCTAAGGTTCCTTCTTACTCCTATATTTTAGGACTGTGCAGTTGAACAGATAGCTATTGCTGGAGATTGGGAATAAACTGGATTACCCAGGGACATAAAAAAGTCCTGGAACTCCTAGCACATTATGGACTCAAAATGAATGGGAATTAGTTTCATGTCTCTAGAACTCTTTGAGGCTAGGAATCACCCATCTTAACTAGATGATTGGAAATTCTGAATAAATGAAGTTTATAGAATGACCTCTGGATCTCTAAAGTAGAAGAAAATCCAAAGAAGCACCCAATTTAAGTTTTTTACTCATACCACCTATGAGTTATTCATATCAAAACAACACAAAACCCTGAATCAGACCATAAATACATAGAACGCACAGAAGGCATAAAAATATTAAACTTCTATACATGGATACAAACTAATATATACAGGACCAACAACCAGTTTTTCAGCAAATAAACTGGGAGAAAAAGATTTACTTAGGTACAATTTGAGACAACTAGGAATTTGAACAAACTGATTCATTAACTAGCAGTGATATTGATATTGTAGCTAAGTTTAACAAAACAGGTGGAATAGGGGTAAATATTTGTGAACTAGGATTTGGCAATGTTTTCTTAAATATACTATGAAAAGCACAAGAAACAAAATAAAGGAGTTACATTGCATCAACATTAAAAACTTGTATCATTTCTAGGTTGTCCCTGGTGGCCTAGGTGTTAAGTTTCAGTACAATCACCTCTACAGAGAGCTGACCCACATGGTGCAGCAGACCTTTCCTGTCTTGCCCACAGCTTCCCTTAGCAGTGCATTTCCATATATCATCCTTTTCTGCTCTCTGCCCTGTCTCTGGTGAATCCTCACACCCCTTGCACCTTGGCCTACACCCCAGCTCTACACAGCTCTACACACAAAAATAAATACATAAATGATAACTTTTGTGCTTCAAAGGAACTAACAAGTATATGAAAAGAAAAGCTACAAAACTGAAAAAAATACTAATTATATATTTGATTAAGGGACCTATATCTAGAATATATATGAACACCTAGAATTTAATTATAAAAAGAAAAAGAACCTAACAAAAATTAGCAAAAAACCAATTAACATTTTATGAACACATAAAAAGATGCTCAAAGTATTAGTCATCAGGAAAATGTATCAAATGTAGGATATGCAAACTCAGGATATTTACTACAGCATTAACTGTAATTAGATACCTAATTTATACCTACTAGAATGGGTATAATAGAAAACGAGATAATGCACATGTAAGGAAGATATGGAAAATTTGGAATGGTTTTTAACACTGCTGGTGGAAATTTAAAATGTGACAGCACATTTTGGTAAAACAGTCTGGCAGTTCCTCAACATAAAACAAAGAGCAATTCCACTCCTAGATATACAGCTAACATAATGAAATATGTCCATACAACAAGTTGTATATGAACTTTCATAACATTATTCATAATACTTAAAGATGAAAAGAATTCAAATGTCTATCAAATGGTGGCTGGATCAACAAGAATGGTATATGTGTGTGTGTGTGTGTGTGTGTGTGTATGTGTGTGTGTATGTATGTATGTATATGTGGTATATACATATATATATATAATGCAATATTATTCAGTAATAAAACTGAAGTATTGTAATGTGCTACATTGAAGACAGTCTTTGAAATATTAAGTGCTAAATGTATAAAATTTGAAAATTTTATACTAAATTAATGAAAACAGACACAGACGCTGTTGGCCATTTATTTATATTCCTAAGAAACCCAGTTTCTTATGGGATGATGTTGGTGAAAGCCAGGCATCTGTAAATTGAAGGGTTGATAAATAGTGGAGGTAGTTAAAATTGTACTTTGCTTTTTAAAAAAGATATATTTTTATTTATTTGTGGATACAAGAACTGGGTTATGACCTGCCAGGGTTCTTTTTCATCCAGTCATTAAAACCATGCTTTTTAAGGGTTCTTACAATCTTATTCCCCTTTTCATTTCATTCCATGTTTTCCCCAGTTGTAGAATGTAACACTCATCCATTCTCCACATTTGAACTAACCACCAACATTACACACTGATGGGCTTCCTTTAAACAAAGTTACTAGACACCTATGTGGAACAAAAGACATAGGTCCATGCCTGCATGGGTCTTACAAATATCTGCAATCCCCAGATGGCTCTCTTAACTCCAGAGACCTGTTTGTCTCATGACTGAAGTCATCTCTTACCCCTTCCAGCTTCCTAGTTACCTGAATTCCATGTCTTTTAGGAATGCCACATACAGAACTGGGAAAAACCAGAGTTATTCCTAAATCCTGCCTCCCTTCATCTTGCTGCAAGTCAACCAGTCTTCAGTTCCTGGTGATTCTCTTCCTTCTCAATGTCTCTCTCATGCACCCTGTTGCCAGCACTTTAATCAGCAGCTCATCATCTTTGATCTAGTACCATTTATTACTTGGTCTTTTGTGCTACTCTATCTCCATAATTCAGCCTCTACTCTCCCAGCCAAATTCTTCCAAAAATGGTTCTGTTCTTATTAATCCTGTAGTAGATACTATGGATTGGTTACTCAGTATCCACACCACCCTCCTTCTAGTCTGCCTTCCTATATTGTTGAAACTCCAAAAAACAGAGACCTACAATACCTCTCACACTGCTTTGCAGCCAGTGTTCTAGATGTGATTTATTACTGTGAATCATATGCACATTACTTTATTTGGGGCAGCAGCCCTCCTGTCCTCTTGTGTTTATGCATGTGGTCCTAGTTGCCAACCATCTTCCTTGGCAGAGAAGTAGCAGCAGCCCTCTTCCCCACCTGTGACTATGCAAGCCTCTTTTAAAACCCATCCTTTACAGGGGCAGCTCTTTTGCCCACTTGTGTCTATGCAAGTGTCCTTTACTCTTCTCTCCCTTTTCATAATAAAACCACCCTTTGGGCTATAAAACCGTATTTTGAAGGAAGAAACGCATACCCATATTTCTGTTGCTTGTGTTGGCAAGAATAGTGATGGTTTTAGGGTTTTCTGCAGTCATGTTACCTTACAATAGGCACCAGTGTCTAGTCACTGGGTTTGTGCACTTGTGAAAGCAAAAAGCAGGGTTTTTGTTTTTGTTTGTTTTTGTTTTTGTTGCAGGCACTTTGACACTACTGAATAGTTGAGGCAGTGGCAGATTCCTGATTCCCATATTGTAAATAAAGTGTTGTGTTCCCAACATCCTTGATTTCTTACCTTCCAGTTTGTGGCAGAGAAAACATTTCCCTGGTGCTTTGGGAGTCATTTATGAAGGCTCACCCAAAATCTTGTGCCTCTGGCCCTTCCACCGTTTTTAGAAGCACCTGATTTTCTACATTAAAATTCTTCCTGCCAAAAATAACTGTAGTAGTTTAATTCCTGAACCTGACCATGACTTACATAACTCCTCTGATCAAAGACCTTCCATGACTCCCCCAATACATTTAAGACAATGGCATTTAACTGGCATATAATACATGCAAATCTGGTGTCTCTTGGACTTTCTAACTTTATCCCTCACTAATTCCCTCTAATTATTTACTCTCCAGACATAAGGGGAAAAAAATACTGTGGTTATCATAACCCACATAATTCTCTTCCCTCAGGACCTTTGTGACTGTTGCTATACTTCCCCAATTCCCACCTGAAAGCTCAGCTCAGGTGTCACCTTCAGAAGAATTTCCCTGATGTTCTCACGACAAAAATATTCTGGGTCATATTCTTCTCCCATAGATTCCTGCGTTTACCCCTTTGGAATACTTATTAAAGTACGTTGCAAAG